TGAATAAGACGTTACTTTGTTAGCCATTGTTAGCCGAACAATTAGACGAACCTCTTCTCTCGAAGACGAGATAAATAAATGGCCGTATCCGTGATCCCGAGGTTCGACGTCTGGACGGCAGTCGGATACCGACAACGAAAGATTTCACGGGATAGAGAGAGGAATTTTCGTTGCAAGTCCGTCGGTAATGGTGTTTAACCACGATAAATAATCCTTTCAGGCGGGATAACCAGCATCGGCTGTTCATAAAACGAGCAGCTGCACGGTGCGTTTCTGTTAAGCCTATCAACGATTACCTATCAATCCCATGTATTCCGACTCCATAGAGGCTCGGCGATATACCACAGATGCTATACAAGCGGGCTATACAGATGCTATACGTGCGTGTGTGCACGTATCGCGTAACAACGTACCGCGCAACGTTCCTCTATCAAACTATCAGTTATACTCTATCAATCCTTCCACCGAACTGGTCTATCTAGTAACCTCACAATCCGCATCACTAATCTTTCACGCGCTCCACCGTTCAAGCTAATTCGTTTCTGTTCTCCGCTGACAAGGTGAACTCGATGAGTCAACGTCTTCTTCTTCCTCTTCCTCTTTTTCTTCTTCTTCTTCTTCTTCTTCTTCCATTTTATTCGCCGTGTCTAATCGAAGAAGAACGAAAATGAAGAAGAAGAAGAAAGAGGACGAAAGAAGAAGAAGGTAGAGGAGGGGAAGGAGCAGAAGGATATGATCATCGATCCGAGTGGGAGTAAAGGTTCAGCATGGATGGTCTTCCTGGTTGTCCCGCCGGATGAAATTACGCTTGGCGAAGACGAATTTGAAAAACAAAAAGAGCTCGAGGAACAAGGATGCGGAGAAAGGTTGTTAAATCCCTCCTCCTTTTTTATCTCTCTCTCTCTGGTCTCCGTCGATCCAGAATTTCTCTCTCCAACCCTGCCATTCTTTCTCCGTTCCGTGCACATTTCCATGTACTTCTCCGCGATGCAACTTCCTCGCTCCCTTCCGCGAAAGAGGATCCTACCGCATCCACGTCTCCTCGACAAACAAATGCCCGCGTGACGGGCGTGTAATGAAGATTTTTCTCACTTGAGAATCGAGCTTGGCGCCTTCGGGAACCTCCACGTGATACTCGTTCCTCTCGAACACTGGGGGGTTGTCATTCACGTCCTGCACCTCGACGCTCAGGCTGAGGTTCGCGGAGAGGCCGGCACCGTCCAACGCTCTTATCAGAAGACCGTGCCTCTGCTGAGTCTCGTAATCCAATCTCCTGGCTAAATAGAGCTCTCCCGACCGGCTGTCTATTCCGAACAGGTCGTTGCTGTTCTGACCAAGGACGTAGCGTATCGGGTGGGAAGGGACGACGTCCGGATCGGTCGCGTGTGCCACGTACAGCGCCGAATGCAGGGGATGCGACTCCGGCACGGAAATGCGCACGCTGCTGGTCGGGAAGGTCGGCGTGTTGTCGTTCACGTCCTCCACGTTCAGTTCCACCTGCGCGAAACAATGCGAGAAACAATGCGACGACGTCGCGATCAGATCGCTCAGATCCTAGGCTGGTCGGTAATCGCGATGTCTCCCGCGATCTTTCACCGACCGACGACACGACAGTTACCTGACAGTAGCCCACGGAAATTCCATTGCGCGCCTCCACGCTTAGGATATACTTGTCCCGCGTTTCACGATCCAACGGAAGGCGAACACGGATCATACCGGTGCTGGAGTCCATCGTTAGATCCGGTTCTTCCTTCGCCAAATAAAATCTGGTTGGCCGTTCACCTGCGAACACAGTTATTAACGTTGTTAAATGGCTACAAAGTGGCTTTTTCTTGTACTTTTCTTTTAAGTAATGATCGTTTTAAGAGCAACAGCGTCGGAAGCTTGAATGCTCTGTGATGGAGGAGAAAGGGCTGCGATGGGGCGATGCAAACCTTGTATTAATTTTTTCTTTTTTCTTCTCTTTTTTTTCTTTCCTTCGACCTTAGCGGACGAAGAGTTCGTCGGTGCATTCGTTGGTTCGTTTCTCTCGGGGAACAAAAAAAAAAGAGAGAAAAAGAAAAGAAACACGAGAAGAAAGGGCGGAAACGGCCGGCGAGGGGGGAAAGGGGGAGGGGGAAGACTGAAAGCGCAAAAATGACGAAAAGGTATTCGAGATACTATATAAGCAAGCTGCTCGTTAATTATAACTTCGGCTTGTTCTCACGTGTGCGCCATTTTGCTCTTTTCCGCTCTCTCTTTCTCTCTCTCGGGGTGCAAATTGCACGAAAATCCTGGCAATCACTACCGGTGCGCGATTCGCCGTTCGGAGCGGTGTGATCGATTGATTGAATCGAATGACCGCGATTTCGCTAAACACCGTTCTGCAAAAGCGGATCGCGCATCATCCTTTAATGACTCTGCCAATTACCGTGCGCACGCATACATTCGCCGATACCGAAACATCTTCGGTCCGGTTAATTTCTACAGCAGTGAAAACGAACGGAATAGTAGTAGGAAACGGCCGATGATCGATTACCTCCGGTCGAACGGAGGAAACGCAACGTATCATTTTTATCGTCCGCGTGTCGACCGATGCTTACTTGGTCACTACTATTACAACGTTAACGCGTTCACTGACCAGGCCACTGAGCGTTTTATAATTCGCAATGAATAAACACGACCTTTTAAATTGTGTTAGTTTCATCTCGCGATGTTTCTTAAATAAAATTCACCCGATGCTGATTCGCGTGCTTCAAATAAACGCGTGCGATGCACGGAACGTGGCAGAAATGAATGTATGAGAGTCAACACGTAATCACTTTGAGTAAAACACAGATTATTTTTTTTTTAAATCTGACTTGTGTCGTGGTTTGATCGTAAGTATTCTCCCGGCTGGTGAATAACGTCCACCTATTTATTTTCGAGAACCGCGATATCCTTGCAGATCTTTTGCTTTCGTTTAACATTATAATATCAATGGCCTAGCTCAATTCTTTATTTCTTTTAGGATAACAAGAAAATATCGATATGTTTACCATCAAACGTATGCTACAATTATTATCGAAATTCAATAAATAGGATTACTAAATGTTACATTTAAAACGAAGCTCTTCGATGTTCTTCTATATTTATTTTCTTTTCCCTTTTTTTTTTTTTTTTTTT